GATCCCTCTGGCCCTGGCTCCTGCTTCCCCCCCCCGCACTGGAGCATCTGGGGGTCCCTGTGTCCTCCCACGTCCCATCACCAGACGCCCACCCGGGAATAAAGGCGAACTGTGCAGAGGACGCTGCGTGTGGCCTGGTGGCTGGGCTTTTGCGAGAGGGTGGCTCAGAGCTCCTGCATGCCCCTCCCCTCTCCCACTACAGACTCACCCTGTAAATTGGGGTAAATGTCATCTTTGTGCCATATTTCCAAAGCCAAATGGGTGCAGAGAGTCCACAAACAGGCCAGGCGCGGTGGCTCATGGCCGGTCATGCCCGCACATTGGGAGGCTGAGGCGGGAGGATCGCTTGAGGCCAGGAGTTGGAGACCAGCCTGGGCAACATAGCGAGACTCAGCTCTACAGAGAAATCAAAAAAATTAGCAGGGCATAGTGGTCCCTGGAGTCCCAGCTGCCTGGGAGCCTGAGGCGGGAGGATTGCCTGAGCCCAGGTAGGTGACAGAGACCCTGACTTAAAGAAAGAAAAAGCCCGGCCGGATGCGGTGGCTCAGCCTGACATTCCAGCACTTTGGGAGGCCGAGGCGAGAGGACTGCCTGAGCCCATGGGTTCGAGACCAGCTGGGTAATTTGGTGAGACCTTGCCTCTACAATAAACCACAACAACTAGCTAGGCGTAGTGGCATGCACCTATAGTTCCAGCTATTTGGAAGGGTGAGGTGGAAGGATCACCTGAGCCCAGCAGGTCGAGGCTGCGGTGGCCATGAGCGTGCCACTGCCCTCAGCCTGGGAGACAGAGTGAGACTCCGACTCAAAAAAAAAAGGAAAAAAAGTCACAAAGAGCAAAATACTGAAACTTTAAAGACGGGGTCTGACCCTGCACCTTGTTTTCATTTATTAATAAATGGGGTCTCACTCTGCCTCCCAGACTGGATTGCAGTGGCATGATCACGGCTCACCACAGCCTCAACCTCCTGGGTTCAGACGATCCTCCTGCCTCAGCCTCCTGAGTAGTTGGGACTACAGGGGCCACCATGCCCAGCTCTTTTTTTAATTTTTTTTTTGAGTTGGAGTCTCACTCCGTCACCCAGACTGGAGTGCAGTGG